AGAAGAACAGGAGGACTTGTGCACCTTAGAGACTAACAATGCTACTAATAATTTGTAGTCTCTAAGGTGCCACAAGTCCTCCTGTTCTTCTTTCTAAGTATTTGGCAAGAGTCCAAGTTACACAGGGATCCAAAACATTTGTTAACAAGCTGAACGAAAGTCATTCATTTCAATTGATCATGCTTTACTTCCTTAATAGCTGCAGTGACAAACTACTAGCTCCCCAGTCATCTATAAAGACTTCCTTGAAAGACAAGGTAGAAGAGATCTGAATTTCTAATGTAAAAGCCAAGCAGGACCTCTACCTTTGAAACACACACAGATACCCCCTCTCTCCTCCTGTCTTTTAGGGCTTCTACACCTACACACACACGCTTTTTCCCCTCTGCACGGAAAAGGTAATCTTGCTATTTACATGAAAAAGTAATCTTGAGCTGCAGACTAACAGAAATGTAGCTGATTTATAGCATGACGGTGTGCAGAACTCCATTTACTTGCATCCCTTCTCATTTCTGTGATGAATTTTCATATAAATTTCAAACAAAACAACTATTTACCCTTTTATCTTAGCAGAACTCTAAATACCCTATTTGCTTTGGCTACAAATACATGGAAAATGCCTACTAATTAGAGCAGCAGTCCACAGATATGGTATCATGATAAACCACTCCACGATCATGATAGATTTACTGAGGTGCTGGCTATACGTACCAAAGTGGGTACAGTGAACATCTGAACCGAGAGTGCAGTCACGGAGATATTTCTCTCATGGTCATCACTGATGTATTCTTTTTGCAATGTCTTGTAATACTGTGAAAAGGAGAACATTGGGAAAATGATTAACAGCAAAAGTTAAATCAAAACAAAAACAATTTAATTTAATTTTTACTTGGAAGAAACACTACAGTTAAAATAGATGTCTTTATCACTCCCCAACAGCTCCAGATCAAACACACATGAACTGCACAAAGCCCCATATCTAGCAGAGCACTTAATGTGGTTAACTTTACACAACAGTAGTACCACTGATTCTTCTTTAAGTTAAGCACATGCTTAAGTGCTTTGCTGGATGGAACCTAATTCCTTTATTTCCCACACTGCCATCCTTCTCCAATGAGGGAAATAAAACACACACACACACACTCAAGAAGTCAGTCTCTTAGCTCTTGAAATTACAAGAATCATAAAATAGGTCTTTATCCCCTCCACGGAACAGAATATGAACTGTTCTGTTGAAGACCTGCCACCAAAAGCGCTATAGATTCAGCATAATTCTTTCCCTTTCATGTCCATTCCAAAGAAGAACATTGAGTGTCACTCACATTTTTGACTAGTAATATAAGTGGATTGTCTCTCATAACAGAAAAAAAATGTTCTGCTAGCCCTTACTTCATGTCCATTTCTCAAATATTGCATTATCTTAAAAAAAACAAAATCAGACAGTTTCCAGTTTACTCACTGCTTCAATGATAGCAGAAATCTAGCAGCATGTAGTAAAGGAATATATACGGTGCTCATCACTGTTGCACATTAGCATCTACACCTACACGTCTAAAGTGGGACTGAAGCACGGACCTTGATGTCTCACATTTTTGGCTGAGCTAGGAGGGTTGCTAATGCGTTCCATGTTGAAAGTTCATTAGTTTACAATCAAGACAATTCTCAGTAGTTCTAAAATTAACACCAGAATGGCAAGTCTCTGGCTTTTATCGTCCATTCCATTAGGTTATGGCTGAACTTGCACCTCATTTTAGATTAGAGAAAGATTGTTGGTTCTCTGGGCCAAATTGCCTAGCGCCCACCTCAACTAGTGAATACAGCTTACAAGTTTTTTATATGTTTTGTTTTTTTGTTGTACACCAATTTGTATCCTTAAATGGATACAGTATTGCTTCTCAAGAAGACACTTCAGCAACTTCTTTTAGGGTTCAGCATGAAGAATTGTTTTGGAGACAGTATCTACAGAACTTTACTGATACAATGTGATAATGAATAAGTTACACATGTATCTCAATAAGGTTTTATCAAGGATTATTCAGAATCCTGAATTCCAGATGGACAGCATCTACATTGCATTTCTGTACAAACTGCAAGTTATCTTAAAACTGGTATCAGTACTGATGTGAAAAAAAAAAAAACACTTTCTGAAATTAGGCAAGTGAACATGCAAAATATTTATAAAAGACCATAAACAGATGGTTTTATGGGGTTATCAAGTCAATGTACATTTAAAGAGGGCATAAACATACCGTGTATTCTCTGAGTAACCATTCCACTTTCTCAAATATCTTCCTCAATATATTTTTAAAAAGTTAAAATATATTGTTAATTATATTAAAATTCCATGGCTACGGAAGCACAAACAAGAAGAGTTAGGAAATGAAAATCAGTTTAAGATTTCATCCATAATTTTTATTCTCCAGTTTTTTGCTGGTGACATCACTTGTTTAAAATTTATAACCACAATGTGTAAGAAAATATGAACATCTAGTTACCTTCACAAATTCAATAGCAAAAAGTTTTTTGTACTCCATTTCCATGAAAAAACTGCTGAAGATAAGTTCATGAAGGATCTTCCTTGCCCCTGTGAAGATAATAAAATTTGTTTTACTCTTACTCCACTAAACACAATTTTTTTGTTTTTGTGCAGAAAAAGAGCAGGTGGGAAAGAGACGGAAACTTCATGTCATTAGAAGTACTAAGACAGTTATGTATATACACACACAACTAATCAACCCACTGGCAAGTGGCCTATTATTCATTTTAAGAACAGTCATTAGGGAGCTGCTTCAGAACTCTGGTAGATACAGGAATCCATTTGTTCAACATGGCTCTGTTTCCCCGCCAGCTGCTTGGGACCCAGTGAGCTCAACTTCCTTTTAGCTTTCTTAGACCTTCGCTCCTTGGCTTTCAAGGATCAGTCTACATTCAATTTTTGTACTAATTACACTATATAGAATTTAGAAACATATAAGCTAACATGCTATGAGCACCGATATACCTGTGTAGCTGCATCCACATGACAGGATTACAACCAATAACTACATTAGTTTCTAAACAGATAGTTAAATCAGTATAAGAATTGTATACAGACAAGCCCTAAAACCAGATTTCTTTAAACCATCCAAGTCATGTGTGTTACCCTTAAACAGCGAAGCTAATAAAGTTTAACAGATCCTCTTTGACATTCTATGGTTTTAATTAGTTTGGAAACAGAAGGAATATTCTAGTTCTGCAGGGTTTGCTTCTCCATTTGTGAACAGTTTCTGGGCTCTTAAAACCTTTATGCCATCAGGCATACCATTTTCTTCTCAGACACTTTCTACTCTGGTTATCTTGTATGGAATATTCTACCACTCTCAGTAATGAAGGTGTATCTTCCCTTTGTCCTTTACTTAGTCATTATAGAGATGTATATAAACAAGTGTTGAGAGTCTCTGGGTTAGGCTAAAAGGGGTAAAAAACAAGGGTGATGTCATGCTAGGAGTCTACTACAGGTCACCTAACCAGGTGGAAGAGGTGGATGAGGCTTTTTTTAAACAAATAACAAAATCATCCAAAGCCGAAGATTTGGTGGTGATGGGGGACTTCAACTATCCGGATATATGTTGGGAAAATAACACAGCAGGGCACAGACTATCCAACAAACTCCTGGACTGCATTGCAGACAACTTTTTATTTCAGAAGGTTGAAAAAGCTACTAGGGGGGAAGCTGTTCTAGACTTGATATTAACAAATAGGGAGGAACTTGTTGAGAATTTGAAAGTAGAAGGCAGCTTTGGTGAAACTGTTCATGAAATCATAGAGTTTGCAATTCTAAGGAAGGGTAGAAGGGAGAACAGCAAAATAGAGACAATGGATTTCAGGAAAGCAGATTTTGGTAAGCTCAGAGAGCTGATAGGTAAGGTCCCATGGGAATCAAGACTGAGGGGAAAAACAACTGAGGAGAGTTGGCAGTTTTTCAAAGGGACACTATTAAGGGCCCAAAAACAAGCTATTCCGCTGGTTAAGAAAGATAGAAAATGTGGCAAAAGACCACCTTGGCTTAACCACGAGATCTTGCATGATCTCAAAAATAAAAAGGAGTTATATAAAAAATGGAAACTAGGACAGATTACAAAGGATGACTATAGGCAAACAACACAGGAATGCCGGGGCAAGATTAGAAAGGCAAAGGCACAAAATGAGCTCAAACTAGCTACGGGAATAAAGGGAAACAAGAAGACTTTTTATCAATACATTAGAAGCAAGAGGAAGACCAGAGACAGGGTAGGCCCACTGCTTAGTGAAGAGGGAGAAACAGTAACAGGAAACTTGGAAATGGCAGAGATGCTTAATGACTTAATTGTTTCGGCTCCTGCCCCTTTTATACACTCCTTCTGCCTGCCCTATTGTAGAGGATATAATT